TTTTTTTTTTTTTTTTTTAGTAACCCTGTACTTTGCCAAGCACAATATCTTTCTCCAGTGACTGGTACCTACTGATAAGTTGTCCAAAGTATGTGAGACAAAATCTTGCTATCAATACTAAGGAACATTCTGATTGTACTTCTTTCAAGACAGATTTGTTCATTCTTTAGGAAGTCAGTGCTATATTCAATGTTCTTAGCCAACACCATACCTCAAAGACATCAATTCTTCATTCGTCTTCCTATTCATTATCCAACTTTCACATAAATATGAGGCAATTGAAAATACCATGATATAATGGTTAGGGTTCTGTGTCAACTAGACTAGGCCAGAATTTCCAGAGGTTTGGTAGTTGGAATGTGATCATTTCCATGGTGATGAAACCTAATACAGGCATAGTTAACTCTCTAATGAGTGGTCAAGAGCAGTCAGTCAATTGAAGATGCTTCCTTAGGAGTGTGACCTGCTTCTAATACAGTGGACTAACAGGACACACTGTCTGTCTCTTCTGCTGGGGACCTGGTACTCTATAATTATAAGCCACTTCCTTATAGTAAACCTTTCTCTCTCTCTCTCTCTCTCGGATATATACACACACATATACACATATATTTCACTGGTTTTGTTTCTCTAGAAAATCTGATGTAAAACACATGGATTGGGTCAGGTACATCTCAGTCCTCAAAGTGACAACTCTGCTTTTTAACACATTTAAGGTTTTTTTCCAACAGATTCACCCAAAATAATATGTCATTTGATTTCTTGACTGTTGCTTCCATAAGAGTTAATTTGGATCCAATTAAAATGACATCCTCTGACTGTCATAAAGTTGTTTATCAGTCCAGTTACGATCATTTTTGTTTACTTTATGTTGAGGTGTATCAATAAGTGCTTCACCTCATTGAAAAAGTTCTGTGATTTTTCAGAAAGCAAGGTTATATCATCTGCATGTCTGTCATAGGTTATTAATGAGTCATACAAAATCTGTTTAAATCTTCCAACTTTCACCTCTGCCCTTACAACCACTGAATCCCCATATCCCCTGAGTCTAACCTCAGGCCACTTTAATATGTTATCATCTGGCTTTGGGATTATAGTACATTGGGCTCCCATGTCTCAGAGTCCCAAGAAAGGGTCTTCTCCAGGCCCAGGCCATTTTCTCCACACATGTACATATGGCCTCAGGAACCTTACTGAGAACTGAACCAAGAGTCCCTTATCCCCTAAGCAATGTTGAGTTTGATCAGCTAGCTGCGTCTTTGCTCCAAATGACTCCAGGTGGGAATCCCCATCATTAAATTCCTCCTGGCTATGATGTGGCCCTGTGGGCTAATGTAACAGACTGTAAAGTCATTTGAACTGCAAGGTCGGTGATTCAAGCTCACCACCTGCTCCTTGGAAACCCTATACATGGTCGCTATGGGTCAGAATTGACTTGATGGCACTTAACAACAACAATAATGATGATGAATAGAATGAACTTGCTTAGGCCTCTTTAACATTGGGGGATAAGCAGACGTTTCCCTCGGTCTACCGAACTTTTCCTAATGCTGGGCTAGAAACTTTATGTCAGCTTCATGAATGTCTGCTATATTCATCCCATTTCTTAATAACCATTTACAAATCTCTCTCCCACTAGGATAAGTTCTGTCTTAATTGCCTCTTACTTACTATTTATTACCCTTATGTTTCTTACATCTATAAAACCCGTGGGGGAAGTTGTGCTAACAAATCTGACATGGCTTCTTAGATTGTTGTCAGTGGTAAAGTTATATGTGGTGGCCATGTAGAAGGGACTCCCTTTATTATCATATCTGCCATGACCTGTGTAAGGGCATACTTGTTGGAGGAATATTTTGGTCACCACAAAGCCATTCCACCATTGCTTCCTTAAGTTGCAGGTTAGCCACTTCCTCTAGAATGAACCATTGACTATTTAGGGAGAAGAAGGCAGTTTTCCTTCTCAGAGTAAACAGAGCCTACTGCAAGTTTTATCCAGTCCACCAGGCTTAACCTTCCATGTGAATGAATCTAGTATTGTCATGCATAACTGTTCCTCAGTGAGTTGTGGGTCTTGCATCAACCCAAACATACCCTTTGATTTTGTAGCATTCAAAACAAAAGACACTGCCCCTAAATTAGTCACCCTGACCATCCATTTTACTAATGGTTCCTCAGGAAGCAGGCAATACCAAATTACAAATTGAAGCAATTCCTTTACAATAGAGCCCATGGTTTCAATACATCCTTGAATTTTGCCCATTCCATTTTTTGGAATAGCTTCTTGGTGCCTAGCAGATGTAGAAGTACTTCCTGTTTTTCTTCCCCAAGTTTTCCTTTCCAAGTCAGGTCTGAGACAAGTGGTCGGTTCTGACTGAGTATTATCTGAGGTTGGCTTAGAGCTACAATCAGTCCTTAATTTCTATTTTCTTTGCCATTTTAGCTATTAGCAACAACAAAACCCAAGGAATGATATGTCTTGCCCTTTCCTTATCACTCTATATTTCCATATGCATCCAACTAGCTAATTCAGTCCGTGTTAAATCAACATCAAACAGTTCTATAAACCATGAATAGCTTTCGCCTTAGGTAAGTGATTACAACATTACAGCTGCTTTAATCCATGAGTGACTTTTATCTGATCCAGAAACCAAAGCTTTTTCATTGTCCCATTGATCCTTTTAGTCTCCAAAGCACATATTGAGGTAGGGCGATTGCAGCATGCCCCACCATTCTGGCACCAACTGCATGGATGTTTGCTTTTAGAAATTTGAAAAGATCAGCAGCAGACTGGTGCCTATGAGGTGGAGGTTAACGACATGTCAAATGTCTGACTTTTCCCAAATGTGATGTCCCTCCATAATCCTTGATGTCGCTTACCACTCATCCCGTCACTCAAGTTCCAGGGTTTTGCAATTTGGTCCACATTCTCACAGCACTCACTCCTTTCAAATTGTGGAGGTTGGTAAGTTCCAAATCCATAGTTCAGAGGCCAGTCTAAAGGATTCTCCTCATCCTCATAGTCTCAGGAGCTGAGGAAACCCATTTGACAGGCCAGGCAACAGACTTTTTTTTAAATATTTGTTGTTGTTGTTATGTGCCATCTAGTCGGTTCCGACCCATAGCGACCCTGTATAGGGTTTCCGAGGGTGTAAATCTTT